AGAGAGAGACAGAGAGACAGAAAGCGAGAAATCACCCCCCAGGGGGGATGGCCACGCCGCAATCCCTTCTCCTCCATTCTCCTCTTGGGATCTTGGGCACGCCCGCAGACGCGCCCGGTGTGAGTTTAAGCCACCGGGTCCAGGACTCGAACCGTGGTTGACTACGTGGGATTCCAGCAACATAGCCATTACGCTAACTGCTGGTCCCAATGTGAAAGGAATTTAAACTGTGCTGGATGCTTGTGGGTTAAGTCTTACTCGGGATGGAGATCCTTTTAATTTAGTTGGTGTTCAGACAGAGAGAAGGGAGACTGTGGCGCTTTTCCTGGTTTGGGGTCAGTATGGCAGTACCTAATGTATATAGAGACAGCATAGAGTCTGAAAAGAGAGTTACCATCTCAGTATTGCCAGAGCTGTGAAAGGGGGTTAATTTTTAAACATTTGTGCTTTAAAGTTTTTTTTTAATTATTATTTTGAAATAATTTCATACCTACAAAAAGGTGCAAATACTTTGCCAAATGTACATACCATTCTGCCATGGTTTCCTTTCTCAATATGTATGCATACTTACATGTTGCTTTTTTCTAAATAATTTGATCATAAGTTGCAGAAAGAATGCCCTTTTATGATACTTAATAGTATAGATGCTAAAATCAAGGTCATCCTCTTATTCATTATGGTATTATCAAAATCAGCATGTGATTTTCAATTTATCAAATACTTGTTTAGTTGAGGGCAAAGTATAGGTAGGCTTGCAAAACTCTTCTAGGTGGTTAAGGAAGTTATAATCTATGTAATGCATAAAAAAATCAATAAAGAAAATCATTCTATTTTAGAGTAAGACTGGCATCACGGAATAATACAAGGTCATCAAGAAGTCCTCCAGAAACACAAAAGTAAAAAGCAGTTATTTTAACCTAGGGAATCAGGACAATGCTTCTTGTCTGGTGCAGAGTCAACCTAAGAGAGGTGGAAGTGCTCTGCCAGAGGACAGTGGGAAGGGAATTATTTCCCAGAACACATTCCCATTTTATTCCTGCCCTTAACAATGAAAGTTCTGAGGATGAATGTATTACTGAAGTTACTCAGTACTGAAATATCAGGAATACATGAGATAGGACAGGTTCTATTCTATGAAAGTCAGTAACAATACTTTTTTTCTTCCTTTTAATTAATAGAATTTAACCTTAACATTACTAGACTAATAAATAGATTTCTCTTCCTAACCACTTGTCCTTAGATTGTTTTTCATTAATATCTTCATGATTATGAAAGACAAGAAGTAATGGAGTTGATCAGCTGTAATTACTTGGAAGGAATGGATGGAATGTTTTCAAAAACTTAATTAAGGCACTGTCAATCTAGAGTTTAAGAGTTGTCTTAAAATATTAAATGTTATGCATGCAAGCTATCCTTATTAATCATTATTTATTAAGTGGATGTTTTAAGTTTTTTTAATTTATGTAAATGTTTAACTTTGAATTTTTATTTATTTATTTATTTATTTAAAGTTCACATATACATCCAGACACTGTTATGCAATGTTAATACTCAGCCCTTTGGCAAGAAGATTTTTTTAATGGAATTCATACTCTTAAATAACACAGTTTGGTTTTTGCAAACTGTTACTTGTTTTCTGGTTAAAATAAAAATAGATTTTTTAGATCTTTGTCTTGGCATTTAATTTCTTAATTGTTTTTCTTTTCAGAAATAAATGCATTTTGGGACCAGCAGTTAGCGTAATGGCTATGTCGCTGGACTCCCACGTAGTCGACCGCGGTTCGCGTCCCAGACCCAGTGGCTTGAAACTCACGCTGGGCGCGTGTGCGTGTGTGCTCAAGATCCTGAGAGGAGAACGGAGGATAAGGGATTGCGGCGTGACCATCCCCCCTGGGGGGTGATTTCTTGCTTTCTGTCTCTGTGTGTGTCTCGTGTGCACATGCACCCTATAGCAAAAACCTCTTAAAAAAAAATAGAAAGAAATGCATTTTGACAGCAGCATACTAAAAGTGTTACAATTTACATGAATTTTCATTAGAAAATAAATTTCTTCATCTGATTTTTTAATTCTTCAGCCTTATATTAGATACCTTTGGATAATATCTGTAAAAATTCATTTTTCCAAAGCTTTCACATAGGGGGTTGGGAGTGATGGAAAACCTATGAAGCTTTCATCCTGAGATTGTGCATTTAAGAATACAGATACTTTTTACTTTTTTAAGGTTTTTGCCATAGGAAGTGTACACTTGGCTGGAGAGAGAGTGAGAGGGAATGTGAGAAATCACCCTGCAAGGGGATGGCCTTACCTCAACCCCTTCTCCTCTGTTCTCCTCTTGGGAGTTTGGGTACACACACACACACACACACACACACACACACACACACACTCCAGTTGTATGATTTTTTAAGCCACCAAGTCCAGGACTTGAACCATGGTTAGCCATGTTGGAGTCCAGCCCCTTAACCACGATGCCACCTGCTGGCTCCTGCAGATATATTTTAACAGGCCGTGTTCAGTCTCTTGTCCCAGCATACACTATTTTCACTTTCTAAGTTAGCTTCATAATTTTTTTAAGTTTATTTCTCTCATGAGAGAAAGAAATGGAGACTTGGCACTCTCAACGAAGTCTTGATGCTGCAACCCACTCCCAGTCCTTGCTAGCACCAGATCTTGAGCACACAGATACCTGGAGTATTCAGGGAAGTCTCGGCATGAAACTGGGACTCTCATGTTGGTTAGCTTCAGAGTGCATTGTCTTACTACTGTGCAGCCATCTGTCCCCCAACCTTCATAATTTTTAATGACTCCTGCGAATTTTTCTCCTGCTTTATGTTCTGCTCATGACTATGTGTGAAATGTAAAGATGAATTTGGCCTGCAAAAGTTAAAACAATGATACTGTTATTTGACAATATTTTTATGAATTTTTGAACATAAGCAGTGCACCAATCTTATATTTCTGACTTGGTATTGTTATATAAGATTTATGTATATAATAATTCTTAGGACTTCCCTTAGTAAAAAGGTCAGTCCTCAGGCAAAGTAAACCCCAGATAATGTATCTCCAAATTTAATATAGTCTATTTTAATACAGTGCTCAATTCCATTGAACTGAGGTGCCATAATTACTTAATTGCCCCCTCTTTTTAGTTATTTAAATTCTTTCTATTTAAGAAAATAACATATCTAGTATATAGTCATATAGACTATTTTATTTTTATATTTCCATTAGAAAGCAAATTTGGGGCGGGGGGACCAGTCAGTGGTGTGATGGTTAAGGCAGGTGGATCCCACTTGGCCACCTGCACAGTTTGAGTCTCGGACACAGCAGGTTGAGAAAAATGCCAGGCACATGTGCATGCGTGCCCAAAATCCCAAAAGGAGAAATGGAGGAGAAAAGAGTTGCAGGGTGGGAATGCCTCATGGGGCCTGGTTTCTCCCACCCCATCCCCATCCCTCTCCAGCAAGTGCATATAGCCCCTAGCAAATTAAAAAAAAAAAAACCCTAAAATTCATATTTCATAATCATTTTTTCCCCTTTTTACTATCAGAGGACACATGCATTTGTGAAAGTGAGGGAAGAAAAGCACCCCTCCGTGAGACATGGTCATGCCATTTCTCTTCCATTTCTCCATCGTATTAGGATTTGGGGATTTGGGGCATGTATGCACATGTGCCTATCATGTTTTTCTAACTGCCAGGGCCTTGATTCAAGCTATGGTAGGTCACGTGGGATCTGCTCCTTTAACTGTGAGGCTATGGGGCCAGCCCCCAATTTTTTATCTTCTAAAGATCCTTAATTTTCAATTTAGGAGTGAGATTTCTAGATTAGAAAGCATGACTATTACTTTTAAAGGATTTTTAAGTGCTGTACCAGTATATAGAGAATGTCTCACTTTTGTAGAAACTCAAAATGAATAGTTACATTCTATTTAGATCACAGTATAAAAGAAACTTATTTTATAATAAAATGGAAGTTTCCATTGGTTCATGATGCAGTCATAGGAAGATGACAACATGGTATACTGGGAAACTCTGGTGCCCTTAAGTCTCTGTTGCATGTAATTAGTTAGCCTCTCTTTTATGCATCTGTTAATAAGTAAGTTCTAAAAATCAAAACAATAGTCACTCAAACTGGTTTTCATATTCTTAGTATAGCTTTGAAACTATGTGGCCACCTGTGCATGTCACTAAAAAATCTCTTTTCCCTGTTTTGCCAGCTTTAAAAAAAGGAGATACTATAATGGATCTTACAGGATGATAATATATTTATAGGTCATCGGAAACATCATGATGAATTTTTACATAGAAAAACATGGGAAAATGTCATGACTTTTCCAATCACCCAATATATTATCTACCACTGTAATTATAACCACTATAATTGTAACCAGAATTCCTGTTTTTTTTTTTTCCTGTTGCACTTAATACCTATATTGAAGTGCTTAACTGCTTTATAAGTCAGCCTTAATTAATAGTATTATTTAATTGCTTAAATGTTCACTTTGCTGCAAAACAATACTGGGAAAATATGAGAAGGAAGTCACAGATTGCCTGAATGGAAATGTAGCTCTGGTACTTACCTGTGTGTTATTGGGCAAGTTATTTATCCTGTTTAGCACTAGGATTCTCATGTGTAGAATGAGACTATAATAGTAATACAGATTAAATGAGGTTATATTTAAAAGCACATAGCACAGTTTTGGATACATTTTTAAGCATCAGTTAATATTAGTTTTTAATAATTATTGTTATAGTTATTGTGTTAGTTGCTATTTATAAGAAATTACTTCAAAAAGTAGTGGCTTAAAATAATAGTAAATGCTGCTGGTGTGGTGGTTGGGCCTGCTAGGTCCCACATGGCCAACTGCGAGATTCAAGTCCTGAACCCAGCAACCTGACTAAATACACCAGACATCTGTGCCAAAATCTCAAGAGGAGAATATAGGAGAAGAGATTGTGGCATGGCCATCCCCCCTAGGGGTGCCTTCTCAGTTTTCTTCTCTTTCTCTGGTGAGTGCATGTACCCTATAGAGTTTTTGTCATCGTCGTTTTTAAGTTTTGAAAAAATGATAGATGCTTATCTCCTTGTTCCTGTAGGTTAGGAATTCAGGGGCTGTGTTTTTCTCCTTCAGTCTCTCATGAGGTGACAGTCAGTATGTCAGCATGGTCTGTGGTCATCTGAATATTTTTTGAACCTAAATGGCTATCACTTTTATGTTTTGCAGACTATGTCTTCTGCAGTGGTACAGTTGTATGCAGCAGATCGGAACTGTATGTGGTCAAAGAAGTGCAGTGGGGTTGCATGTCTTGTTAAGGACAATCCTCAGAGATCTTATTTTTTAAGGATATTTGACATTAAGGTGAGTTTTGATTTGCCATTACTTTTAACTGTGGGTGGTTAGGATATTTGTTTCAGATATAATTTAGTTTAGATTTATTTGTTTATCCTATAGGTAACATTTAAATTATACTTAAACTAATATTAGAAGGTTGAAGCTTGGTTTTAGAAACTGTAAAGCATGGACATTATGACCAAATAGAAGCATAGCACAAGCCAGAACATGGATAATTCTCTGTTTCATCTTTCTTCTGCCACCACACATTGAAGATATTTTTTTTTTTTTTAATTATGTCTTTGGGTCTTGGACTTTCCACATTCCCTCTTTTTCTAATAATATTCTTTGTTTTTCTAATAATATTCTTTTATTCCATCTTCTCCATTATAGACTGGTATGCCTAGTCCTTTAGGGATCAAAGCTGCTACTGTGTACTGTTATTATTTCAGCTAAGGTTAAAGTATTACGCATTACCTATAAAAATGTATTTGTCATCCATTTTTCTCCAAGACAGCTGATAGGTGCAGCATGCTGCTGTTAGAAACTGGCTTATTGGGGCCAGCAGTTGGTATAATGGCTATGTCACTGGACTCCCATGTAGTCGACCATGGTTCGAGTCCCGAACCCAGTGTCTTAAACTCACGCCAGGCACGTGTGCATGTGTGCCCAAGATCCCAAGAGGAGAATGGAGGAGAAGGGATTGCAGGGGGGTGATTTCTCACTTTCTGTCTCTCTATCTCTCTCTGTCTTTCTGGAGAGTGCATGCACCCTATAGCAACCTCTCAAAAAAAAGAAAGAAACAAACAAACTGGATTATCAAGGCAGTGACTCTGGGTAGTGGGAAACATGTGCATAGTTTGAAAGAAGCTCCTAAGAACTTTGATAATTTCTCATCAGCAGCAAAAAGAACTATTTCAAAATGGAATACACGTACAGCTCCATTAGGAGGAGGGGAATTTCATTACAGTGGTCATAATGTTCAGTGTATTTTACATTTTTGAAATTGTGGTCTAGGCAAAACCTTGATTGCAGAACAGAGCAGAGATTATGTTTCCCTAATCACTTATTTGCAATTATAAGTAGCCATTGCTGAACACTCACAATTAGCCACCTTTGGTGTTAAATACATTTCTTACACCATGGCAGTAGTCATCCATAATGCATTGGAATCATCAGTTTCTTTCTGCAGCATGATTGATAATAGTTTTACCAGTATTTAATTAGGAAACTGCTCTGTAAATTTAAGAATTTGAACGTTATTAATGAATAGTACAAAGAAGGTATATTTGACCCTCTCACATATATAAGAATAAGGAAAGAACATGGAGTATTCCTATCATTTTTGGAAGTACACAGTCTGAATGTTGCTAATGGAACTGTGTGTTTGTAATCAGTGCATGTACTACTTCTATGTAACATTGACAAGTTAGCAATTATTCTAGTTATATATTTGGCCAAGTAACTATATTTGGAAGTGTTTTGCTAATGAGACTATGTCTTAGCATACTGAATTAAACTCACTTGTTAATGTAGGTTTTAAGGAGGATATGTTATCCAGCATTTGTTTTGGGCCACCAGATGATGTGGAGATTAAGACGACTGGGTCCCACATGGCTAACTGCACATTTCTAGTTCCAAACCCATTGGCTTGAAAAGACATTGGACACATGTGTGTGCCTTCCCAAAATCCCAGGAGGAAAATGGAGAAGAGATTGCAGCATGGTTATCGCTCTATGGGGGTGCTTTCTCCCTTTCCGTCTCACTGTGTCTCTGTGTCTCCAGCAAGCACTTCTGCCCTATAGCAAAAGTATAAGAAAAGAAAAAGAGAGAAAGAAAAAAATCACTGATTAAATTATGTGGTATTACCTACATTTTACATATGTTGGATCATCAGAAAAGTTATGATGTATTATTCTGTTTTTCTATGCAAAAATGCATCGTGACTTTTCTAACCACCCAATGTATGACATACATATATAAAAGTTATGTTACTATAAATAATCCCCTGATATTAGTACTTGTTTCATTCCTAAAGATTATTTTTTTGGTAGTTGTAATTTAACTTTTACTTTTTTTTAGGATGGGAAACTATTGTGGGAACAAGAACTATACAATAACTTTGTATATAATAGTCCTAGAGGATATTTTCATACCTTTGCTGGAGATGTAAGTTGCGTTTTCCTTTATTGTCATGTTTAATTTTTTTTTCCCCTGGGGATGGAGTACTTAGTATATTAGCTGAGTATTTACTATGATAGGTAACTTTCCTTAAGAGTAGTCTTTTACTTTACCTTTTTTATGCCTTCTGTCTTCTTAAGTTACTCAGATATAATTTTTCTGCTTATAAAGTTAACCTTTCCTTTTTAAGACGTATGCCTCAGTTGGCCATCATTTTTTTATATAAAGCTAAATTTGTGCATTTTGTTGTTTGCCTTTTTCGATGAAAATATTTCAGACTTGTCAAGTTGCTCTTAATTTTGCCAATGAAGAAGAAGCGAAAAAATTCCGAAAAGCAGTTACAGACCTATTGGGCCGGCGACAAAGAAAATCTGGTAACCTTTTTTCTTTCCTCCTCTTAATTATTTAAAAGGAGTCAGCAGACTCTGGCTTATGGGACAAATGTGGTCCATTGCTTGTTTCTATACAAAAATGCTGATTGAAATCCAGCTATATTCATTAGTTATGGTCTATGGCCACATTTGTCACTAAACAGTTGAACAGTTACAACAGAGACTAAATGACTATAAAGGCTAAATAATTGTTATCTAGTACTCCACCAGAAAAAAAAAAGGGCAAAAACCTCCTTATAGAAATAATACTTTTATTGAGAACTAATTTTTTCAGATTTCTTGTAAGATATTTTCCAGTAACGCTTTTTTTTCTTGATAAAGTCCCATGTGTACTGCTTCTTAAATTCATATCTTTTTAACATTTAATTCTACTTGTTGCTGTTATTATTACTATTATTTTAAATTTTACCAGAAACAGAAGGGAGAAAGCAAGCTGCCAGGTCCAGGCTTCGAACCATGGTCAGCCACATGAGAATCCAGTGTCCCCAAGCACCACGCCACCCACCAGTCCCAATTTACATTTTTAATGACATTGTAACTTAAATTTTTAAAAGTATTTTATACTTTGTAAACAAAGACTTTAGCAAACTTAGAAACAAATATACAGAGTTGTAAATAAGATCTTTAAACATTGTCATGTCTCTGTTTTCCCCATAGAGCTGTACACTGTGAGACCATAAGCATAAAGCAACTTTAATACTCATAGATCTTTAAATTAATTAGTATATTAAGTTGTTGGGAAAGCCATGGCATATTGTTCTATGTTTTCTATCCAAAACTGCTTCATGACTTGTCCCACAATCCAACAGAAATGTTGCTTGACAGCAGTGTTCCAGGCTTTTCTCTAGTAAAGAGGAGAGGTGTGAATCTCTTCAAAATCATCGCCCTAAATAATTAGTTTTAGGAAAGATGACTACAGGAGTTGGGGTTGGCAAATTTGTATAGTCTTCCTTTACTTGCAGGAGTATGTGTACTCCAAGGTGAAGATCATGGTATTCAAAGATGTGCTTTACCAATAAGAATGAATAAGGTTAGGGAAAAAAGACATTGTATTGGAAAACAGTCATGTAAAAAGCATATATTTCATTTTATACATTTTCATTGTTATTTTAGTGGGTTTCTAAGAGGGAGGGAAAAAAGTGAAAATAAAATAAGTTGTTTCTTCATTATTTCCATCTTTTTTTTTTTTTTTTTGTATAATGTATGAATGGGAAAATTGTTAGGAGCCTATTATTTTTTGTTACTTTTCAGGGCCAAGAGAATTTACCATTTGATTTCCTGTCAGGAAGGTACTCAATGTAACAGTATTGAAACCTAAACTTTAGGGAATAATTATCGTTCAGTATTTATTTCAATGGTGTGCTATGGTTATAGGCCAGGAGCTCTCTCGGGATCATTTCAATCAAAACAAATGACATTTTCAATATAAAAAAGAGTAAAAAATACTTCTTAAAATATAGAGTAAGTAGTGACCAATTTAATGCTAGGGACAAGAAATATCAATAATACCATTGAATGTTACCTTACAGGATTTAAACAGAAAGAGTGACCACAGTAACACTGCATATTCAACAGAAGAGAGTTTGAACGTAAGACTAAACTGGCAAAATAGAATTTTATGACTTTTGAGTAAAACATTACTGATTTTTTTTTAACTATGCTTTATTTTCCCAATTTAAGCATTTTACTTTCTTCTGAGTTGTTGAGTTCAGCAATTTGTTAAAATATTTTTGTTTGTTTCTTTAAGTGCAAACATAAACTTTTCTTTCTTCCTGACCCTCTGGAATTGGAAAATATTGGGGAGTATTCTTATTTTGTGACAGAAGGATTATTTGTATAAGTTCATTAATGCTTGTTGCATTGAATCAGAAATTGGAAATACTCATTATTGTTCAGGGCTTTGACTGGAAGGTCATATCTGAAGATTAATCAGAAAACTATGGAACTAAGCTGGATCTCAAGTAAGCTCTTAGAAAGATGACCTAGCACCACAAATAGTTCTGCCTGGCAGAGATGATTAGAGAAGCTATATGAAAGAATTTATAATATAAAATAACCTGGGCTTTTCCAGCCTAGCATTGTAATCAGTAGAGATTGCAAAAGAGCAACCACACCAGAGGATTATCTTGAAGAAGACTTTGAAGGAAGAAAAAGAGAATGATCTTTGCTAGCAAATGGTATATCAGAGAATACTTGGTAGGCAGGGCTGAACCGAGAAAGTTTATATGTGACTTTGTGTGTTGGGCATTTGCTTTTCAATAATTTGAGTAGTTGACATGTAAATATTTTTTCAAAAATATTTAAAACCTTGTTGTCTCTGTGGTTATAGAGTCACAAACAAAATTATAAGAAATATTTTGAACATAATCTTTAAAATTCAGCATTTTGAAATTTTGAAGGTTGTTTATTAACTCAAGAACTATGGAATATGAGCAATAATTTTTTGATATGTAAAGTAAATGCTTGTGGGAAAATGTAAAAAGAAATAAAAGAAAAAATACAGAATAAGTGATTTTGAAATTGGTAGCTAAGTTAAAGGTGTCTTTTACTTGGCATAGGAAGTCTGTTTTATAAATAAATGGTTTCTGAACTTTTAGTTAAAATATTTCAGGAGAAGAAAAATCCTGATGTTAGGCAGGCAGTTGAGTCCTTTTTGGGTCCCCATGTATGCTGAGTCAGATTCCATCTTTCTCTCTCTTTTACTTAGACATGTGGGGTCCAACTTGTGGAGCAACAAAGAATTAGTCTATTTTCTTTTCCTTAATAGGGGAAGTCATGTGTCCTGTCCTTCTTATACTTTCTCATTTTGAGTCTAACCCATCCCAGTGTCTTGAAATAGTCTTGTGATAAAGTTTATAGACTCATCATCCTTAGTACTGTGTTCAAAATCTATAGATTATGATGTCTTTTTTTTTTTTTCAATAGCCAGGATTTCATGATATTGAGATCCTCCAAATTTAGCCTCTTGGTACCTGGGACCATAGACACACATTGCTAATACCTGGCTTTTAGGATGGGTTAGGAATCCAATTTGGACTTCCCATGTGGCCTCATCCTACTCAGTAGCAGCATCATCCAGTGCGTGATACCAGAGCTAGATGAAATTTTCTTGTCTTTCAAAATATGTTGTTTACTGGGGCCAGCAGAAGGTGTAGCAGTTACGTCACTAGATTTCCACATGGCTGACTGCGGTTCGAGTCCAAGGCCTGGTAGCTTCAAACTGACTCTGGGTGCACGTGTGTGTGTGTGTGTGTGTGTGTTCGTGCACATGTGCGCACGCCCAGGATCCCTGGAGAAGAACAGAGGAGAAGGATTGCTGCATGGCCATCTTCCCTTGGGAGGTGATTGCTCACTTTCTGTTTCTCCATCCTATAGCAAAGATCTATGACCTCCCCCCCCAAATGTTCACAGTTGAACATGGTACTTTAAACAGAGTCTGATTATGATACTATTGGGTCATTGGAAAAGTCATGACACTTATTTCATACAAAAACTTGAAAAAATTTATCATGACTTTTCAAACAACCCAGTAAAATATCCCTTGATTTGATTAAACACTGTTTTACTAATCTTTCTAGCAAATGTCTTATACCATTAGCTTCCGTTCTGTTTTGTTTAACCAAACCTTTTCCCTTTTACCTGTGTGGCTCTGAAGCTAGGATGGTGTCATAAATCTAAGTAATTGCTTCTTAGGACTTAGACTCTAAACTTTTGCATTTAACTCAGTGTATTTCCATATTTGTATTATCCACCAATTTAAGTAGTATTTCTCTTTTGGGCATAGAGATAACATCACCTTGGAAATTGGAGCGTGCCATTCATTGGCCTAGCTAGGACTTGCTTAGTTCAAATATTTCAGAAAGTTGCTTTATCAGATCAACAGATGAAATAGTACATTTATATGTTCCATTGATAGGATTTTTAACTTGTCCAACAGTTAAATCTTTTTTTTTTTTTTTTCCTTTAGAGAGGTTTTTGCTATAGGGCACTTGCCTTCACCAGAGAGATGAGAGACACAAAGCAAGAAATCACCCCCAGGGGGAACAAGGCAAAAAATCCCCCCCGGGGGGTTGGCCATACCGCATTCCCTTCTCCTCCATTCTCCCTTCAGGATTTTGGGCATGCATGCACATGCGTCCAGTGTGACTTTTTTTTTTTTAAGAGGTTTTTGCTGTAGGGCATGTACACTCACCAGAAAGAGGGAGACAGAGAGACATAAAGTGAGAAATCACCCCCCGGGGGGATGGCCACGCTGCAATCCCTTCTCCTCCATTCTCTTCTCAGGATCTTGGGCACGCATGCACATGCTCCCAGCGTGAGTTTAAGCCACCGGGTCCAGGATTCGAACCGCGGTCTACTACATGGAAGTCCAGTGACATAGCCATTACACTAACTGCTGGTCCCTCCAGTGTGACTTTTAAGCCTTTGAATCTGGTACTTGAACTGTGGTTGACTACATAGGAGTCCAGCAACATAACCATTATGCCATCTGCTGGTCCCCAACAGTTTTGGTTTGTGGTTATTTATAAATCATTATATTATATCAGTTATTTATGGATATTTCTCTTAAAATTTCAGAAAATTATATTAGAAAATCTTTGAAAGTTACCTTTGTTTAAAATTCTTGAACCACTTTTGAACTTTTTAAAAATTGAAATAGTGTCTGGTTTGCAAGAGTTTAAATTCAAAGACTTGATAGAAATTCTCCTGGTTTTGCTCCTACCTGATTGGTTGTATAGTGTTTCAGTGTTTTTCTGGTGTATCCCAGTGTCCAGAATTCTCTGGGTATTCTCACTCCCTTTCTGCTCTCATCCAGTCTCATAACGGCCCTGAAAATTTTATCTTCAGAACTGACTTCTCTGTCTTTTAGATTCTGTACTCAATTTGGGTGTCAGAGGAGCCTTCAGACTAATCATTCTGAACAGAAAACTTGATCTGTGTCCCTATCCTCAGCCCCACTGAAATCTGTTCTACTCTGTACTAGTATCCCCTTAGTAAAAGGTTTTCCCTCCACTTCATCACTCAGACTCAGTGTGGTTCCTCATGAATCTTACCATGGAGTTCCATGGAGTCTGGCCTCAAAAACATGTCCTGGAGCTGACTGTTTCTTACTATATCTCCTGCTGCTATCCTAATGCAAACTAGCATCGTCTGTCATCTGGACTACCGCCTCACTCCCTGACCAGTCTTTCTGCTTCTCCTCTACCCTTTGCTATCTCTTTTCTACACAATAGTCTTGAGTAAACTCTTTGCCCTGTTCAAAACCTTGTATGAGCTACCTGTTATATATGGAGCAAGACCAGTAGCCCTTACCCATGACTGTGGGACCTTATGCAACCCAGTCCCTGATTCACCTTCTGATTTTACCTCTTTCCTCCATTCCTTTTGCTTTCTCCAGTCCCATCTTCATGATGTTCCTTTGTGTCATGTTCTAACATTAAGACCTTTGAATATATCATTTCCTTTGTTACTTTATTTAAATGAAAATTCTTTAGAAAAGTCTTTCTCAGGACCAGCAGATGGCATAATGGTTACATGGCTGGATTCCCATGTACTTAACCATGGTTCAAGTCCTAGACTTGGCATCTTAAAACTCATGCCAGGTGCATGGGCACACGTGCCTAAAATCCCAAGAGGAGAATGGAGGAGAAGAGATTGTGGTACAGCCATCCCTCTTGGGGGGTGTGATTTCTCGCTTTCTGTCTCTCTGTCTCTCTAGCCAACGCACACACCCTACAGCAAAAATCTCTCTAAAAAAAAGAAAAGCCTTTCTCAGTCACCTTTACATCAATTTGTGAATGAAACAGAGTTTAAGTGAATTAACTTTTTAGTATTGATGGGTTACATATTTCTAACAATATTCTTCTAATTTATTTTCTAACAGAGAGAAGACGAGACCTTTCAAATGGTAAGTTGCTTGATAATTATTTATCAACCAAACAATTTTGTTACTGTTTAATCCTTATAGAAACATGTACCCTACATTAATATATACTATTTAATATCTATGATCAAATATTACAGATGACTGTGTCTTATTTAAATTAATGAATGACATGTGGGACAGCAAAAATACTAATCTTTGTTTTCTAGTATAAAGGAAGAATACAGAGGGTGAAGATCAGTAGTACTTGTATCTTAATTCTGTGTTTTGAAGGGGCATCTAATTTTTATGAATAAGTAGAACTTGAAAATTCTTCATGGAGGGGTGGAATCTCACACTTTTACTACCACTACTAAGAAAGTCAGCCATAATTAAATGTAGTTCCTTTTTTTGAGATTGCTATTGGTTTTACATCTTTAGTTTTATAGTTTTAAACCTTTTCTCTAGTGATCCCATATTTTTTCACTAAATGAAGATATAATATGGTAATAATGTATATAATACATTCATAATACATATTGCATAAAAATTATAAATAGAAGTCTCAATATTTTTTCCCACTTCGCTGTGGATTCTCTCCCCATATGTGGAGACAGACCACTGTGTTGAAAGAATACCATCACTTTACTGCTTTGTGTGCACTTCCACTGGGTGGCAGTAGGCACCATAGCTGTGTCTGGCAGTATCCACGCAGGTGCTTGGTCTCAGATCCTCATTTAAGATGATCAATTTAGCGGACTTTTTTGAGTTGCAACTATTAAAAACACTATGTAAAAATTACATATAATCCTAAAATGCAATTTGGTATCTTCGTCAGTAGCTCTCCCTTCCTTTGTTGGTCAGTCTCCCAGTTTAGTGTATATGTTTTCCAATGAGCTGTTCCCTATTTCATGGTTGCTTGACAACAGAGGGCTATGGGTCACTTGTTTCTCAACTAGCTTACCTTGGTCAGAGTTCTGTGCTTTTTATGTAATCGAAAAGGAACTTTTGTTCTTTTATATTTAAAATTATCTAGAAATGTCTGTTCACAAGAGTATTTTTAAAAACCTTTTCTTGTGGCAGTTGGCCATAATTAGGAGGAGGTAATAATGTCATTTGACTGTTTTTTGAAAAGAAAAGAAAATAGCTTCTTGTATTTTATATTTGCTTAGTAGGTGGCCTTAGAATGAGTGTAATTTCATAAATGGAATAATTAAATTAAACTTTACTAGAAATGACTAGAGTATCTATTACCAAAGCATCTATGAACTTTATCAAAAAATAACTCTGCTTTATAAATTTTTTTTTTAGTGTTGTCACTTTTGAAATAGATATTTAATTAGGCTCTAGAATACTGTTTTAAATGTATTTCTTAATATTTTCAAACTCTTAAGTAAATAATTATTGTCAGCCAAAATAATCAGGTACCTAATCTCTTAAAATATATAGAAAATATTTTTTCTGAAAGTTGCTAGTAAATATTTATTGAATGATGAATTGTTTGACTGTGGTCTCAGAGCACTGATAAGTTGGTGCAGAAATAATGTATGATGTAATTTGTAAAGTTAGCATTGTCAGTAACCTTATAGTTGGAGTTGTATAAAAGGTAGAGTAGTTCCTAGAAAAGGTACAGGACTCGGAACCAAGATACCATAGTTCATCTTTGCCTCTGTCCCTAGTTGCGTGCCTTACACAGGGCATCTGACTCTTCTTGTCCTCAGTTTTCATATACAAAATGTTTAATTTTTAAAAGAAACCTTGATTTTTCGCCTAAAATTAATTTTCTGTAGAACTCTGTAATCTGGATTTTTCTATATAGACTTCTGTAGACTTACAGAATGTTTTAACCAGTACTGATGAAATATATCTATAATGACTCTAAGGAATTATAAACTACTTTGCAGATATGTAATATATTCATGCCTAATTTGAGGGTAGAGGGAGTAGGGCAATCACAGTCTGACTGCCATATGAATTAAACATTGTTATTCATCATACACATCACTGATAATTTCGTTCCCATCCTCTTAATTCATGAACCTTCTTCAGAGACAGCAGGGTTACCTTCTCTAATGTATTATAAGTTAGGTTTACAAGAACCTTATTTCCCAGAAAAGAATTCTTTTACTAGTTTAGATTATTTAAACCATTAAACTTAATTTTATCAACTCTATTACCATTTAGGTCTTCTATAGTATAATAGATCGCTTTTATATAAACTAAAGCAGCATAAAAGTGTGTTTGTTCTGTTCCTAGGTTGTCAGGAAAGTCATGACATATTTTCCCATGTTTTTCTATGCAAAAATGCGTCATGACGTTCCCAACAGCCCAGTAATTATTGTTGGGCCAGCCAGGTGGCATGATTGTTAAGGCGGCTGGATCCCACATGGCTAACTGCACAGTTAGACTCCTGGACCTGCTGGTTTGGAAAACAAGCACCTGTGCATGCTTGGGCAAGATCCTAAGAGAATACAGAAGAAGGACTTGTCATGATTGTCTTTCCTGGGGTTGCTTTCTCACTTTCTCTCTGTCTCTGGCAAGCACTTTGCCCTATGGCAAACTCTATAAAAAGAAAAAAAAGCTCATTGCTTTTTGGTTTTGTTTTTATCTTTAAATGGTGAGACTGATTGTTTCTTCCTGTTGGCCATTTGAATGCCATTTCAGGAAAGGTAGTGTGAATAAAGAGCGCCTATCTCTGATTTAATCTTTTATGTTAGTTCTTAAATTCTGCTAAATATAAGGATAAGAGAATATCCTTATATTTGAAACATCTTGTTGTGGACAGTGTTGCTGATAGTGATTGGTAAAGATATAATAAGAGAGAGGACAGAAAGGAAAGAATGAGATGTAAAAAACAGATCGTTGGATGTCTATGAAAGTATGAGTGTGACCCTACTTCATGCTCTAACCGCTGAATTCTGGGTATTCTTATTAAGTGTCTTATTTTGTGACACTGTAGTAAAGGCTGAAATCTGATATCTGAGCAAATTGAAAATTTACGTCTTTATGATTTTATTAGCCTCTCAAATTATTCTGGTTTTTTTGTTTGTTTGTTTGTTTTTTGCCATAGGCCACATGTGCTCAGAGAGTGAGATAGTGAGAGGGAAAGTGAGAAATCACACCCCCCGCAGGGGAGATGACCATGCTGCAATCCCTTCTCCTTAATTTTTCTGGGACTCTGGGCACACATACTCATGTACCTGGCATGATCTTCATGCCTCCAGGTCTAGGACTTGAACGGTGGTTGGCCGTGAGGGAGTCCAGCACTGTAGCCACTATGCCACCTGCTGGCCCCTGTATTGCTCTTACTCTTTTTTTTTCTTTCTTTTTTTTTTTTTTAATTTTTTGTGATAGGGCGTCCTTAACCTGCTGGAAACATATTGAGAGAGAGATATTATCATTAAATACCATTTTTTTTCTAAAAAATAATTATTTCTTGCTGATATCAGCAACTTATCATGGAATAGTTTATGAAATTATAAGTACAACTGTTAGATAATTCACATGTTCTATTTATATGTAAATAGACTTGAATACTTAGAGATAATGGCCAAATGACAATTGTTTTCCTACACAGTGGTGATGGCATTTTGTTCAACATTTTGAGAACTATCATTAATGTCATTAATGTAATCAAATTTATAAGAAATTTTTATTGAGTATGTTATATTTGGACTTTTTATGGTTTTTAGATAAAAATTTTTTTGCAAAGTATAAGACAAGTTTGTGCTACACTTAATGTCACCCCTGAAAATGTTACTGATATTATTTAATAGTGCCTGAGATAGTTTTTCTATTGATCTTTAAAGATCAGAAATTTTCCAATTTTTATGTTTTTGAGCTCTCTACTTCTGACAGTCAAGATGTGTGTGTACTGGTGGGAAAAATATTACTGAACTTAAATATGGCAGCTTTTTGAGTGCTAATATGTCGCTACAAGTGGAAAGTTCCACACCTGACTTTATGTGACAGATTACAGTCAAAGCACTGCAAAAGAATTTTAAATTTTATATTATGATTGTATATGTGTTAGCTTAAATTCTATTTTTCTCCATATTACTTTTTCTTTATTTTTAGGTCCTAATTTACCCATGGCTACAGTTGACATAAAAAATCCAGAAATCACAACAAATAGATTTTATAGTTCACAAGTCAACAACATCTCCCATACCAAAGAAAAGAAGAAAGGAAAAGCTAAAAAGAAGAGATTAACTAAGGCAGATATTGGGACACCAAGCAATTTTCAGTAAGATAGTTCTTTTGTTCTTATCTTTACTTTTGATTATTTGTTGCAGCTCTAAATTTTTAACCTGTTAGAAAATTTTGTTATCTTTTAGGAAAGATGCTTGTATTTACCACTTGCACACTTTTTCAGCTACACATTTTGTTGGAGGTTTTTGCTTTTTTTTTTTTAAGAATGAATGTTCTGTGAATCTTAGTATTGTTTTCTTTTCCACCCATCAGAAAAGAAAAGTTAGGTAAAGTTGTTTTTTCAACAAGTTATTGGACATAAAAAGGATTTCTCATTTTGTTCTCTGAGTGTCTGTTGTAGTCATTGCCTAGAGGCAGTTAAAACCTTTTGTATTTATGTGACATATTTCAAGCATCTTCACGTGCATTATTTATCTCATTATAAAATGCCTATTTTCTCATATATGTATATATACATACATATATGTATATAAGTGTGTGTGCGTATATGCATATGTGTATATATATACACACACACATATACATATATATGAAATGATTGCATTCTTATACTAATTTGATAGTTAAGGAAATAGATGCTCGAGAAATTGTACACAAATGTTAAGATTCAGTTTGCAGCAGAACCAGGGCTGGAATCCTAGTCTCATCTCCTCTAAGTCCTTGAACATAGGTTTTCCCAGAATACCTGTGTCTAAAAGAGCTAAGATTAGTTCAGACCAAAATGGGTGTGTAATATTTTATATATATTATGTTTTAATGTCCTTTAAATATTTTATTTTTCTATTTTTTCTACGTCAGGCATATTGGACACGTTGGTTGGGATCCAAATACAGGCTTTGATGTAAGTGTCTTTTCAAACATTGTACAGCATTATTCTTAATATGTGGTAATATTATGCCCTACCTTAAGATCTTTCGTTTTTATTATTTATTTTTGTGGAGTCCAATACTCATTTACCATAAATGTGCTTGTGTTAAGTACATATACCGTTGAGGTTTCAAAATCATAAATGTTCTATCATTCTTGCCTGTCTCTAAAAGACAGTTTTTGTACCCTTGGCCATACATACTAAAAAAGTAAAATTCTTGTGCTTTGAAAACTAAGAGAAGAAAATTATTTCTATTAAAGATAATTTAAGGGGGACTATATGCCAAAATACTTGAAAGTAGTATAATCACATTTTAAATATCCAGTTGTGGAGTATTCTGGGTCTTTTCACTCCATAATTTTTTATGGCAGTTTCATCATTCATTATTTTATAGCACTTAAGAAAGGTAGATGGGATTGCTGGCAAAAATTAATCAAGGTTTGAAGAAATTATTTTGAAGAGAAATATTTGTGGTTAAGATGAAAAAATCATTTGAGTTATTTTTGTTATAATTATAATGTTAAGTCCACAAACACATCTTTAATACCTCTTGTGTGATGGGCTTGGGGCTTCAGGGAAATCCTTGTCTTTCAGTTTCAAATGTATATCTGTAATTATACCTAAATCTTATTTAGGACAGGTTTAATGGATGAACATTCTAGATGTTTGAATTGTGAATGTGATAGTGGAAATCTAATTGAAACGCCCTGTTTTGAAGGCAAGGAACCAAAAAGAGATAGAATAAAAATATAAAATATATTCTTTATTTTTATCTTTTTTTAACAAGGAAGTTTAATTACATATAAACAATATAACCATTAGGCTAAAGAGAAGAATAAAATTTTATTATCCTTTTTTAATTGGGATTTTTTTGTAGTTAGCAGTTATTTTATCTTTTATAGCTGAATAATTTGGATCCAGAATTGAAGAATCTTTTTGATATGTGTGGAATCTCAGAGGCACAACTTAAAGACAGAGAAACATCAAAAGTTATATATGACTTTATTGAAAAAACAGGAGGAGTGGAAGCTGTTAAAAATGAACTACGAAGACAAGGTAACTTTTATTTCTCTTTAGGCATTCTGATAGCTTTTTTCTTTTGAGTCTCTTGACATCAGTTTCATGGATGAGAACTATATAAGTTCATGTGAACCTGTCCTTGAGCAGAATGTATGCGTTTATGGACAGCTAGTTTGACCCAGTGTACTATGTCTCACATTATTTTGCTATCACTAAAAAACTTGACATGGTGTTATTTATTAGTATTATTTATATTTTGTTTATTTATTTAAAGGTTATTTTATTTAACTTTATTTATTTATTTTAATTTGACCAAGAGGGACAGAGCAAGAGAGACAGAGAGGGAAAGTCAAAGCAAGCTGCCAAGAAGCAAGCTGCTGGGTCTGGGACCAGAACCGTGGTCAGCCATGTGGGAATCCAGCACCCTTAACTACCATGCCATGCACTGGCCCCTATATTTTACTTTTTTGGAGAGATTTTTGTATAGGGTGCATACACTTGCTAGGGAGACAGAGACAGAAAGTGAGACATCACCCCTCAGGGGAGATGGTCACGCCACAATCCTTTCTCCATCCTCCTCTCAGGATTTTGTCCATGTATGCACATGTGCTCAGCATGAGTTTTAAGCAGCCAGGTCTAGGGCTCTAACCATGATCAACTACATAGGAATCCAGCAATGTAGCCACAATGCCTTCTGCTGGCTCCTGGTTTTTATTTATTATTAGGAAATATATTTATGAAAAGTCATACAAAATCTTCCAGCTATTCTTATTTTAGAATAAAAAATTATAGTTGCCTAAATATTTTACTTAATGATGCCTAAGAACCCACCATTAAAATTTTTACTATAATTCAGGTGTAGTTATTTATTCATTCATTCATATTGCCAGAGTGAACATGTATGAGAGCGAGCTCCACTGCCAGTGGGCTGTAGACATACTTCAATTATTATCCCTCCCCTTCAGGATCTGAGTATGAGCACACACACAATTCTTGATATGTTTATCTAACTGCCAGGGCTGAGACTGAACCACCATCAACCATGTGGGATCTGGATCCCTATGCACAGGGGTTAACTGCTGCTACCAGGTCAGACTTAGATGTGGTAATTTAAATATAATCATTCTATTATAATAATTTTTAATGTAGGGACCAGCAGATGATGTAATGGCTATGTTGCTGGACTCCCATGTAATCAACTGTGGTTTGCATCTCGGACCCAGGCTTAAACTCATGCCAGGTGTGTGTTCATGCATGCCCAAAATCCCGAGGGGAGAATGGAGGAGAAGGGATTGCGAGGGGGGGATGATTTCTCGATTTCTGTCTATCACTCTCTGTCTTTCTGGTGAGTGCATGCACCTATAAGCAAAAAACCTCTCCAAAAAAATAAGTGAATAAAATAATAATAAATAAATAATAATTAATGTAAACATTTTCCAAATATAAATCATTTAAATCTTTCTGTTAAATTGGAAATGCATACCTTTTCTCTTGAGTAAAGTACATATTTTCTTTTGGAACATGACAGAACAATTTACAGCCTTTTAAGACCTGATATTGCATTTAAATCACCTTGTTTTAGTTGTGTCTTAACAGTTACACAGTAAAATGTAGATAAAGTAAACTTTTCAATTTGCCAGTCCCACTTTTGTAACCTTATTCATTTAGGGACTCTTTTTCTTCCTAATTTTTGCATACTGTGTAATAGACAGTATTGAGAACAAATGTTCACCAGTTAAAATATCTCCTAAATATTTAGCTGTTGTTTATAATTAGATGTGTTTGACTTTCAGTGTCTTTTTTATTTTTATTTTTATTAGGTTTGCTGTAGAGTATGTGAGCTCAGTAAAGAGTGGCAGAAAGAGAGAAGTAAAGGGAAACAAGAAAGCATCCTCAAGGGTGGATGCCCATGCTGTAATTCCTTCTCCTCCACTCTTTCAGGATTTTGGGCATACACACACATATGCCTGGCATGTTTTTGGAGCACTAGGAGCCAGCACCTTAGCCATCATGCCACAGGGCTGGACCTCTTTGTCTTTTTCACTGCTGCTGTTCATTTCACTTTTGATCACTTCATCCTTTCATATAGTAGGTACACATTATGTGAGCACTGGTTTTAGGGTATTTATATTTAGATGTAAAGATATGGCTTCTGCCCTCAGAAGCCCTGCAATCTGGTGTCAAGACCAATATGTATACGAGTATAAGATCATAATTGCTGTTATGAGAACAGTGCTAGTCCCACTGAAACTAGCATGACACTGATTTATCTTATATCATGAACAAATTACATTTCCAAATTGTGTACGTTCTTAAAAAACACATCTTGTTGGCCCTGTAGCACAGCAGTTAAGTGCTGTGCAGAGGGATCTGGAACCCACATGGCTGACCGCAGTTGAAATCCTGGTCCTGGTGACTTGAAAAAGTTGCCAGGCACATGTGCTCATGCCTAGGATCTTGATGGAATGGAGAAATGAAGGAAAAAGGATTATAGTGTGACTGCCTGGTCTCTCTCTCACTCTCTCTCTCTCTCTCTCTCTCTCTCTTTCTCTGGTACACATGTCCCCTCTGGCCATAGGGAGGAAAAAACACAGTTAGGCACAGCATCATTATTTTTATATGCTCCTAGGCAGTCACTATTAGTGTGCAAAAGATGGAGAGTCCTGGGAACCCCAGTGTCTTCTTTGGCCCCCTTTTTTTTTTCACTGTTGTCACCCACCTGCACCTTATACTACTAAAGGGTACTCACGGTCTTTAGCATTCTACTTTATAAGTTTGCAAAGTGCTTTTGACATTATCTAGCTATTAATACTGCTGCTCTCTCATCTGAATATCTGTAAGAAAGAATTGACTATAACAGGAATTAAAGTAAGAGTTGATGTTGATAGAAAAAAATTTTGAAATCCACATAATGTTTTTCCTAAAACACATTTTTCACAAACTTTTTGAAGACTCCCTCATTTTTTACTTAACTTTGTTTTCTAAACTTTTTACTATTGCTTTTTATGTCACATGCTTTTAAAACATTAAATTAGGGACCAGCAGTTAGTGTAATGGCTATGTCGCTGAACTCCCATGTGGTTGACCGCAATTCGAGTCTGGGACACAGTGGCTTAAACTCATGCCGGGCATGTGTGCGTGTGTGCCCAAGATCCCAAGAGGAGAATGGAGGAGAAGGGATTGTGGGTGGCCATCCCCCCTGGTGGGGGGTGATTTCTCACTTTCTCTCTGTCTGTCTCTCTGCCTTTCTGGCAAGCACACATGCCCTATAGCAAAAACCTCTCCAAAAAAAATAAATAAATAAAAATAAATTAGGCAAGATTTATCCTTAACTGAGAGGCAGAGACTTAAAAAGATCTTTTATGAACAAAGTGTAAATATGGTATTTATATTCAAGAACCTAACTCCCAGTATAGATTGTTTTAAAGACTGAAGAATGTGAGACAGCTTTTAATTTTATAAAGAAACAATAAAGGCAAACTAACAGTTTATTAAGGAAACATTTTCTAGGCAGATCATATAATTAAATTAATATTCAAAAGTATGAAAAATGAATTAGAAGGGAAGAAGTTAATAAAGTCTTAAAAATGTGCTTTGTGAAATAATCAAATCTCTTGATACTTACTTTGTAAAACCATGTAGTCATGTTTATAAAAAGCAATAGATTGTGATTTCCAACATACAGTATCTTTTTATTTTGTGTGTGCACAGTTGTTTGAAATCCATTAACTCATAGTAATCTGTTCTGTAGGTCCACCACAATGGAGTGGTATGTATGTGGGATTCATTTGATGTGCTTTAAGTGGTGCATGCCTTGGTGTGTTTATTTTCACAGAAGCTGGAGTTCATATATCCAGCCTCCAAATCTAACTTCCAGTGATATTTTCTGCCCCAAACTCAACTTAGAGCTTTGGGCATGTAGATTTTAAGATAGGAAGAGAATTTATTTCTGTGTGAGTAAGAGCATGTACTTTTTATCATTTAGATAGTTTTATGAAATTCTGTGTGTCTGTTTTTTAAAAACCTTCTGTATACAGCCTCACTGTTTTTATTACTAATTATAATTACTATTTTTAGTGATCACTTTTCACACTTGATGTGTCTTTCAATAACCTACATAAAAGAAACTGACATTTCTACATTAATTGGAGTTGGGGAACTAAACACAAACACACAGTACAGTTTTACAAATGTCTCCTCAGGGAAGTGTCATTAATCTCATGAATTTAAACTTGTTTTAAATGAATTTTTCCATTTGTTTTACCTTGATGACAGTACAAAGAGCAGTTCTGTAATGTTTCTTGAATTCTGTAATGCTATTATTTTTTTATGATTTTTTTCTTACAATTCTTGTTAATGTCTAGAGAGTTACCTACTAATACTCTTAATATTGATCTAAAACGATATTTTTAAGTATATCAGGTGTGCCATCAGGACAAGTTTTTTGTGGGATTTTTGCTGAAAGCTTCAAAAAATTTTTAAATTAGACTTCAGTAGTAAGAGCAGCTTCTGTTTGTTGTAACTTTCGTTTGATGCTTTTCACTTACTTCCTTTTTAGAAGTCTAAAAAATACTGTTGTCAATCTAATTCAAGTATTGTGTGACTCTCAGAGGTTTAAAAATTTATAAGCTACCAGACATTCTTATAGTACTGTGCAGCGTCCACGGAGCAGATACTTTTGTGCATGTAAACATAATTAACACTTTACCCTCAATTCATGTTTTGCATTTTTACCTTGGAATGTAGCATGTCTTCTGCTTACTGTCCTTTTATGCAGATATAGTATAGACTATAAAAATTGAAAGTTCTGGGACCAGCAGTTAGCATAATGGCTATGTTGCTGGACTCTCCCATGTATTCGACCGCCGTTCAAGGCCCAGACCCGGTGGCTTAAACTCATGCCAGGCACGTGTGCGTGCGTGCCCAAGATCCCAAGAGGAGAAGGGATTGCGGCGTGGCCATCCCCCCTGGGCGTGATTTCTCACTTTCTGTCTCTCTGTCTCTCTCTGTCTGGCGAGCGCACGCACCCTATAGCAAAAGCCTCTCCAAAAAAAAAAAAAAAAATTGAAAGTTGGTAATAGATGTTTTCTTCAAGAAAATACAGAAAAGTTTGCCAGCACTTTTCAAGATAATAGAACTGTTACACTGGGATTAAATGTCGTTGATAATTTATTCCCTGTAAATAAAGGCTTGTCCCTTTGAGCAATGATTTAATGTCTGTTTGAATGGGTTTTAGCTGGACCCTAGGTTATTCCATGTACTTACTGCAAGTGAAAGACTTTTAATGTTTTGTATGTGAATTGCTATTTTACAGACAAAGGATTGTGAATCCAAAAATGCAGTGAAACCACAAAAAGTGATTGTTTAAAACCTTATAAAATAGAAGAGAGTCCTTCTCCTCTTGATTTTAGCAGACAGTTGAATCATAAAAAAACCAGTCTAGACAAATAACATTGCTATTTGAAATATAAACCTAAGCTGATTGAAATGTAATTTTCTACCTGCTTGACGGATTTGATGCACTGCCTTATTCAAGAGTATTCATAGTACATATATGCCATAACCTCCTGTGCACCTTTATTACAAATGTTGTTATTAAAGGACTGCTGCTAGCAACTTTTTAAGAATCTTAGATGAATCTTAAGCTGCAACATCCAGACCTCCAGTATTCCTTGAGTGTAGATACAGGAGAATCTCAGTCTGATGGCCTGTATCAAAGTAGAGTAATTCCCTGTTTTCAGCTGCAAGCTGTTTCTAATTTGAAAAGTTCATATACCAGGAGACAGTACCTATAGGAGAATAGGCCTTTCTGTGTGTTTCATCTAATGTTTTACATTATATTGACAAACTAAAAAAGTGGAACAGAGAAAGAGGAAGAGAGAGATTTATAGCATGGTATTGCCATTCTGGAATCCTCCTGCCCAGTCTCCCAACTAGCTTGGTTTATAGGCACACATTGTCACGTGTGGCAGTGGCACCAGCATCAGACAACAGCCCAACTCTCCCTCCTTGTGCCACTGCAGTTAGGCCTGATAGTGAATTTTTATAGCAGGATTCCCATGGTTATCCCAAATGAGGGCTTTTTTCCTTCTCTGTTATCATTGTATTAATGAACATCTAAACCTATTATATGTAATAAATGTAGGTATTTATAATTAAATAGGTTAGGTAGGAATGTCAACCAACACCATATTACACTTTTGTAAGTGAATATCAGTAGTTGTTATAATAACTTTAGCTTACTTTTACAGTTTATAGAAGTTCTCAGTTAAATATGAGTTCGTATCTCCTGAGTAAGTAATTGAACATTTCAACTGAACCATCAGCCTCTCTTAATGAGGCATTGCTAGAATACTGACCATAAATAAATAAAATGTGAAAGTAATTTAGATGACAAGAGCTTACATTTTAAAAGAAAAAACATATTTGGGTTTTAGCTCAGATTATTGTGAATAATTTTGAATCAATTCTGTTATATTAATTATGTAATTTTGGATATAAATTGAATTTATTAAAAAAAACAAAATATGCTTGATTCTTTAAAGAGGGAAAATATTAATTTTTATTAAAATAAATGCATATTGATCAAATTCTTAATTTTATTGTTATGTCTTCATTGCTACATAAAATAGGAAAGCATTTCATTTTTTACTTTTTTTAAAAAATTGCTGTAGGGCCCAAGCACTCATCAGAGAGAGAGAGAAAGAGAGTGAGAATGCACCCCAGAGCAAAGGCCATACCGCAGTCTTTTCCACTCTGTTATCAGGAATTTGGCCACGCACACACCCACATGTGGCATATTTTCCAAGCCATTGGGTTCAGGACTTGAACTGTGCTATTGGCCACGTGGGACCTAGCCACCTTACTCACCACACTACTAGCTGGCACTGATACTGATTCATAAACAAAATTCTACCATTTTAACTAGTATTTTTGAAAAAACAACAGAAAACTGACTTTTAGACTAAGTAGTCCCAAATAATAGTCTAAGAGATGATCTGTGCTCAGATGTCTTGATAAAATAAATGCAAAGATGAGAGCTTTTCTTCTTGGTATTATTTCATTATTTTGTTTTTAAACATATTAGAATTGCTTTTTAAACTTTATGGTTTTGGGGGATAAAAAGCATGCTTTCTTTTTTTCTGTTTTTATTTTAGCACCACCACCTCCACCACCATCAAGGGGAGGGCCGCTGCCTCCTCCTCCCCCTCCACATAGCTCAGGCCCTCCGCCTCCTCCTGCCAGGGGAAGAGGTGCTCCTCCTCCACCGCCTTCAAGAGCCCCGACAGCTGCACCTCCACCTCCACCTCCTTCCCGGCCAAATGTAGCAGTCCCTCCACCGCCACCAAATAGGATGTACCCACCTCCACCTCCAGCCCTTCCCTCCTCAGCACCCTCAGGGCCTCCACCACCACCTCCATCTCTGTCGGTGACGGGGCCAGCGGTACCACCCCCACCGCCTCCACCTCCACCTCCACCAGGGCCACCGCCTCTCCCTGGCCTCCCTTCTGATGGGGACCATCAAGTTCCAACTCCTGCAGGAAACAAAGCGGCTCTTTTAGATCAAATCAGAGAGGGTGCTCAGCTAAAAAAAGTGGAACAGAACAGTCGACCAGTGTCCTGCTCTGGAAGGGATGCACTTTTAGACCAGATACGACAGGGTATTCAGCTGAAATCTGTAAGTAACATGTTCTTTTCATTTTAGATTGTCTGTTATTTATCTCTGACATCTGCCTTATAAATTTTAAAATAATTTATAACATCTTTGAAAAGTTTATTATTTTACTTTTTTTGTTAGTTTTTTAATCTTATGAAATTTTTTGTGTATTTTTACAAAAATCTTTACATACAATTAATGCAGAAATGTTTTATTTCAGCATTCATAATCATCTCCAGTCATGTAACTTATACTACTATACTCTATAGAACATTTTTATCCTCCTAGAAAGCCTCCTCATTTTTCTCAAAAACAATCACTGACTTGATTACCGTAGATTAGTTTGGCCTGTTCTAGAACTTCCTCTAAATTATACAAGATGTTTTCAATTTATTGTTATAGACTTTACTATTAAATAAAAGGTACTTTAATTTAAAGAAACATCTTTAATAAACTATAGAAAATTAAAAGTAGGCCTACTTAAAACTAATTGCAATCACGTTGATAAATCCAAACCAGTTTCTTTATGAAAATGACATCATATTATAAAGTTTCCAGGTTCTGAAGTTTAGATTAGCAGAGATTCAGATTCCCCAGAAGCTTGAGAATCTGATGGTGATGTCAGGTAATCGTAGATTCTTTGAACTGATTATTATAATCATTTCATCTTATTGAAACTAAACTTTTTTCTGTGAAACACCAGATTGTATCTTCAACTTACAGGCCTAAATTTCTCATTTAAAAATGTGAAAGCCAGAGACCACCAGATGGCATAATAGTTAAGTTGCTGGACTCTCATGTAGCCGACCCTGGTTCAAGTCCTGGACCCAATGGCTTAAAACTCGCCCTGGGCACATGTGAATGTGTGCTCAAAATCCTGAGAGGAGGAGAGTGAAGAAGGGATTGCAGCATGGCCATCACCCCAAGGGATGATTTATCTCTTTCTGTCTTTCTCTGTGTCTCTAGTGAGTGCACACACACACTATAGTAAAAATCTCTCTTTCTTAAAAAAATAAAATAATGAAAGCCATTCTTAGCTTTTAGGTTTTTTGTTTTTTTATTTTTTTTTTTTTTAAATAAACAGGAGACAGGTTAGATTTGGCACTGGGCTACAGTCTTACCTACAAGGTGAAAGCAAATGACAGGAGTACCTTTTAATTGAAAATATTTTATGATGTAGGGGGTTGATACAACTTTCTAGGTTTCAGAAGCTTTGCCTAGGAGTATGAAAGATAAGAAACAAAATTCATTGAATGAAAATATTTAAACATTAGATAACATGTTTTTAGTAAACATCTGATCTTTGGAATATATCTAGATCTTTTCTTGAGCTTAAGTTCAGAATGACACTTAGATTAACTTGTGAGCAACTGTCTCTGCCCCCTTGCCCCATTTAATTCAGACTAAGTTTAGATTTCTCAGGAACACTTTAGCTTTCTATTTAAGTTAACTTAAATAGTGGTTATTGGGGAAGAATTAATTCAAAAATGAGCACAGCTCAGGTGAATAGCAGATTTATAGGGTCATTTACTTTCAACTTTAACTTACAATCTGTGCTAGTTCCTAAATTCTCAAATTCTGTCTCCCATTCCTTGCCTAACTTTTTGCTTTCCATTTTCTATTTCTTTTCTTCTCTGCAACAAACGTTTGTTTCTCTCATTTATCTGTAATAAGGTGATATTTTACTTTTAATGAATAAGGTTATATTCTCTTTTCTAAATTTAAAAAGTTAGTTAAATTTTTTATTTACTCCCCTCATTGCTTCTTTTCTAGCCTATCAAGATTAGCCCATCATGGGAACCAGCAGTTAGCATAATGGCTATGTCGCTGGACTCCCATGTAGTTGACCGCGGTTCACGTCCCGGACCCGGTGGCTTAAAACTCATGCCGGGCGTGTGTGCGTGCGTGCCCAAGATCCTGAGAGGAGAATGGAGGAGAAGGGATTGCGGCGTGACCATCCCCCCTGGGGGGTGATTTCTCGCTTTCTGTCTCTATGTCTCTCTCTGGCTAGTGAGCACACGTGCCCTATAGCAAAAACCTCTCAAAAAAAACAAAAAAAAAGAGAAAAGATTCCCCCATCATCAAAAACCAAATAAATAAATAAAGCCTGCCAGTTGATCTCTTAACTTCTCTTAAAAATATTTTTCATTTTAATGTTGTAGGCCATTTTTATCCTAAATAATCAGTTTCCTTTTGGTTGGATTCAGTGTATTATCATAGAGTGCTTAATCAGTAAATTATTAGCATAATCTGAGTCCATAATCATTAAAAAAATTTTTTAAAATTCTCTAGCTTTGTTTCTTTAAATTGTCTGTATAAATCATCAATTTATTCTGCAATGACTATGACTGACATAAAGCCACAGATTTACTTGAAAGAACCAGCAGAAAGTATTATAAGTATTCATTTAAATATATTTTAAATTTCATGTCTGTAATACCTCAAATGGCACTTTTTCCAAGTTTAAGTACGCAGAAATGTTTGATGACGGTGTGTGTTTCTACTTCTGTTTATCAGATTGTTTAAGATAGTTTGAATATCCTGACTCCTTTTATATTTCCTTGAGAGTCTCATGCATAAATACAAATATTTGTATATACTTTATATATGAATATATATATATTTAAACTTATATAATTATTTAGTACAGTTATGCTGTTTTATCTCTAATTATACCAATATTATACCTTTACATGGTAAGTCTAGGAACAAAATTCACAGTACGTGTTCATAAAACCAGTTTCTCATCTTAGTTGAAGTGTATTTAGAGCAGTACTTTCTTAAGTGTATTTGGTTTTTTGAACATGTATAGACTTCTTGTACTCTTTCTCTTTCAGTATGAACGGTAGAAGCAAGGATACTCTTTAATTTTTTTCATTCTGAGAAATTAGGCTTTAAAGAGAATCTTTGGGGTCTCTTGTTTTGTTTTTGTTTGTTTTTTGTTTGTTTGATTTTAAAAGTGTAAAGCTCATAGAGAACATAAATCCCCACAGTTGCTCTTAGATGTCATCATAAGTGTGCTTTTCACCTAACAACTCTAGAAATCTAACTATTACTCTAGGTTTACAAAATGGTGTTCCTTGATGGTAGTTTTAAAGCTTCATAATCTAAGGCTTTGTGTGCTGGAATGAATAGAGGTCATGTAGCTGCAAAGGTATTACTCAGGAAAGGATTTAATTGTTGCTTTACACCTTTGTATTATATTTGTACCTCATGTGATCCAGTTACAGTAAAATACAGATTCTATAATTTTTCATAGCAAATAACTTTTCTTTAAGGAAATCCGTTGAAAGCTTTCAAAATGTACCTGTCTTGGGACCAGCAGTTGACGTAATGACTGTCATGGGACTTGCATGTAGTCGACCACAGTTCGAGTCCCGGACCCAGTGGCTTAAACTCACACCGGGCACGTGTGTGTGTGTGTGTGTGCCCAAGATCCCGAGAGGAGAATGGAAAAGAAGGGATTGTGGCGTGGCCATCCCCCCCGGGGGGTGACTTCTCGCTTTCTGTCTCTCTGTCTCTCTGTCTTTCTGGCGAGTGCATGTGCCCTATAGCAAACAAACAAACAAACAAAAAAAAACTCTCCCAAAACAAAAGCATACCTGCCTCATAAGGCAACTATATATCCCTAATGGAAGTACTTTCACATGCTCTAAACTACACTCAGGGGGGAAAAAAAATAGCTATCATTTTGGAAATATATTGATATATTGATCGCTTATATATTTCAAAGGCAAGAAAAATTCTTTGCATGACTTGTTTAAAGCAACATTTTGCTTCTTCTTAATTTAGTTAACCCTGGGCTAATTTGCTTTCTTTCTTTCTAATTTTCTTTTAAGATGAGGTGATTCTAAGGATTTTTTTTTTTTAATTCACAGAGGGTACATGCACTCACTAGAGAAAGAAAAGGAGAAAGCACCTCCCAGTGGGGTTGTGATCATGCTGTAACCCTTTGTCTTCACCTTCTCCATCCTGTCAAGATTGTGGCCATGCATGCATGTCCACCTGGCCTATTTTTCATGTAATAGTGGCCACTATTCAAACTGTGGTTGGCCTTGTGGGCTTCTGTTCCCAATGTACTCTGTTTATCTACTGTGCAATGGGGCCAACCTTAATAAAGACTTCACTGAATTTTTCTGTTATTTTGAGGTGTCGGATGGCCAAGAGTCCACACCACCAACGTCTGCACCCACATCAGGAATTGTGGGTGCATTAATGGAAGTGATGCAGAAAAGGAGCAAAGCCATTCATTCTTCAGGTGTGTGTATGCGTAAGAATATATATTTAATAAATCTGGGTGTTTGAAGGTTTATTTTTTCTTTACATGTCTTTGATTGCTTTATCTCTGCTAGTAGAGAAACTTCACTGATGTGGGCTCTTGTTTGTTTGTTTGTTTGTTTTTTAAGTTGTTTGTTTAAGTTGTTGCCTCTGTGGCTGGTCTAGCTAAAATTTAATAGTTTCCAGGACACCATAGCTATAAGTTAGAAGAATAACTTTTGGAAAATGACAATTTTATTACCTGTACTGGAAAATACTAACAGTGTCTAAACAAGGCTTGAGATTTCTCAATCTCATTCCTATGAAATTTGTGAAGTTTCCACTGTTTCTGGAGTTTGCTAAAAAACAGTAATTTCTTAAAGCTTTGGTGGTGGTGGTTGTTATTTTATTAAAAAAGAAAATACTTGAATAAACCACTGCCTAATTTATTCTTAAGTGGTTATATTCAACCATATAACCAAATACTGGTTTTTAAAAAGGTTAGGAATATGAGTTTTGCTGACTCATATTCCTGGTTGAGGGTTCCTAAAAAGCTTCTCCAGCATGATGTAGTAGAATCAGATCTTTATTCTTATTAGAGCTAGTATTTCATCACTGTGAACCTCAGTTTTCTTACTTGTTACATGGAGAGAATTCACAAATATATGATTGATGTGAGAAATAAATAAAATAATATGTAACCAGCAAATTGCCTAGTACATAGTAGTTGGTCAATAAATGTTATTTTCCGTTTTTGTGTGTTAATAGCAACAAGAAAAAAGTGGTTAGAAACTGATTATATTATTGACTGATGAATTGGAAGTGAGATTTGAAAGAAAGAGTGAAGGATGACATAAAGATTTTAAACTGAGCAACCAGAAGAATGAAATTTTCTTTTTTTTAAAAGAGGGATTTTGCTATAGGGCACTGTGTGTGCTCACTAGAGAGACAGAGACAGAAAGAGAGAAATCACCCCCCAAGGGAGATGACCACGCCTCAGTCCTTTCTCCTCCATTCTCCTCTCAGGATTTTGGGCACACATACACACGTGCCCGGGGTGAGTTTTAAGCTGCTGGATCCAGAACTTGAACTTCAGTCAGAGTCCAGCGACATAACCATTATGCCATCAGTTGGTCTCAAAAATGGAATTTTCTTAACAGGGAGCAGAAAACCTTAAGAGAAGCAAGTTTGAGAGGAAAGAACGAGAGTTTGATTTTTATATATTAGACTTAAGATACCTATTAAAAAGTCAAATGGGGGTGTTGAGTAGGCATCGTGTAATAAGTGGAATTCATGGGAGAGCTAAATGCCAGTAGGATGTACAGAGATCCATGTTACTTAAAGTTATGGAACTTGATGAGATAAACAAGGAAGTAGACATAGATGCAGAAGAGAAGGTCTAATAAGGTCTTGGGGCTAGAAAATGCAGTCTCTAGAAGCCCGATGAAGAAAATGTTTGAAGGAGGAAAGGTTGGTCATCTAGGTCACATACTTTTGATAGGTTTAAAATGATAGGGAGCAGTATTGTGGACCCAGGAGAGAATAGATAGGGTAAAAATAGTCTAGGTATTAGGACCACCTACTTAGACTCTTTTATGGTTTCCTATTAACAAGGTTACTACCTATCACTGAAATTATGGCTGCAATTAGAAGTGAAACAATATGTCGATTGTATTTTAGACAACTTTTTCTAAAGATAGTCACCTTTGGGGCTTTTGTTCTCCTAGATTTTTTTGTTCATATTTTTATTTACCTTTTTTGAACACATTTATCTGTTTATATTGTCCTCATCAGCAAGTGGCCTTATTTTTCTCTTGAAAAACCTGACTTTGACCTGTTTTGGTACCTTGTGCTAAAAAGTTAACTAAACTCCTTTTCGAGACATAGCAATTGAAATTGATAATAAAAGATGTAATTATTAAAAAACTTGATTATAAAAGATGTGATTACTTAAATTGGTAATTGTTTATAGAGCTTTTTCTGTAAAATGACCTGAGTCATTTTTATGACCAAAGTAGATGTCAGGTAACATTTAGCAGTAATTTGACATCAATAATAAATCTCCGTTCATTTATGCATCTGTCGCCACACCACTCATGATAACCTAAAAACGGGAAAAATGGCTTGTCCCTTAGTGTAAAAGACTCATCCCTCAGTTTATCACTGAGTGAATCCAGTGACTGGCATATTTAAGAACATTATAGAATTGACCAAAGCATGGAGAACTTTCGAGCCTTGTGGCAGAAGTTTGGAATGGCAAAATTTAAGAATTCTTAGCATTAGATTGTTTAACATAAATTCAGATGACTAACCACAGTGAAATTCAGCCTGAATTGGAAAAGAAAAAAATGACTTCAGATAATGGAAAATGCTCAAGAAGGACCTTGATAGCTACTAATGTCAAAGCGATAAAAGGTGTTCTCTGGGTGAGTTTATGCCACAAACGCACGTTCACACACACACACACGCACATACACACATCCAGCCTCAGCCATCCAGGAACATGAGTGGAAACCTTAGACCTTCCCACGTAACTTCAGCACCACAGAGCAGTGTTACTCTGCACCACTGTGGCTGGCCTAAGGTCAGCATTTTGAGGGACAGGGAGGAAGCCCTCTTCTTAGAAACAGTGAATTAAAGGAGACCGCATCAATAGTTGTGAGTAGGGGGAGAAAATACTGGTCAAGTTGTGTAGCGTCTGGTAGAGTGAGGTGACATCAGATTTTATTTAAATAGCAGTGGTCAGCCATAGGAGAACTTGAAGGAGAGAACAGCATAATATTCTTAAACTTAAAATTTAGGGACCAGCAGATGGCAAAATGGTGATGTCGCTGGACTCCCACGTAGTTCACTATGGTCCAATCCTGGACCCAGCGACTTAAAACTCACACCAGACACATGTGCTTGTGTGCCTAAAACCCCAAGAGGAGAGTGGACGAAAAGGGATTTTTAGCCTGGCCATCTCCCCTAGAGGGGTGATTTCTTGCTTTGCCCTATAGCAGAAATCTCTCTTTAAAAAAAAAAGAAAATCATTGCATTTGTTTTGAGGCATATGAACTATAGAGTTATAATAATTCATGCAAGATTTGATGTTGTTTAAGAGTAGCATAGGAAGTTTTAAAAAGGAATATAACTGATGATCAGATGGTGAAAACAGAGGAATTCTGATTTCTAGGTTTTGAGCCTAATCATTTGAGCACATGGTAATGCTGTTGACAGAACAGACTAGGGTGGAGGGGGGAGAGCAAGTTGGAGGAGGAGATAAAACTTCAGAAATTTTGAGTTTAATAATCTGTGTGAAGAATGTAAGAAGACAATTAGATTCATAGTAAGTGAGCCTGAAATTCAGAAGGCCAACCCATGTGGGATTTTACACATTTAGAAACAAGTGGAAATCTATCAACATAGAGAGGAAAGGACTAGAACCAAATCTTTTGCCTCTTACTCTAATCTTCAGCTCATTAGCACACTCCAGGCATATTTTATTAGATTCATTTTAAACTACTTTGGTAATAATTAGACTTCTGGAGTTAAATGGCTTGTGTTAGGAGTGAAATAATAGGAAAATATCACACAAGAATTGTGTAATGTCATTTTATTTATACATGTGTTTTCATTGTTTTCTTGATGAATTTTTTTCTAGATGAAGATGAAGATGAAGACGATGAAGAAGATTTTGAGGATGATGATGAATGGGAAGACTGATCTATATATTATATATATATATTTTTAAGGTGAAATACTAAACACTACTTTCTGTCTATGGATTCTGTAAAATTATCATGTAAATGTTCTACCAATTTGCTGTATATTTTTGTTGCCTTTTTTGCTTTTTTTTTATTAATCTGTGCAATACCTCATTTAATCTGTAAAGGTTTGTCATAATCCTTCTACAAAGCTACTCCCTGTTACTGTGTGCAAGTTTACACCAGAATGCTCACTTGATTTGTGAATAATTTTCATTCCATCAACAAGGGAGTTTAAATATTATATGTGAGACTGACAAAAACCTTAATGTAATTTAGTTATAATGCCAGAAGGAAAACACTATTTTCATACCCTACTTTTTCTGTACCTAAATTTTCTTATTAAAATCTAGTATAGCACTACATTCTTTTTTAAGTGATGCAAACCTTAGTTCCTTTAGCCCCTTCATTTTGAATACAATGCTACATATGAATGTTGGAGCTGATGCATTGCACAGTTCTGTAGACATCACTACACTGATAAAGTTTCTCGAATTTTAGCAATATGCTCTACATAAAATCACTACAGAGATCCTAGTGGAGAGACTCCGTAACACACCTCGAACCGCAGTATTGCCCTCGTTGGTGCAGCAGTGGTGTTTGCAGGCTGAACCAGAAGGGCCTTTACATGCCTGTACTTGACAGAGGTTATCTTTATGCTATAGCAAATATGCCAGGTTCTTTCTGACAAAAAAAAATTTTAAATTATATTTGGTATTCTGAAACAAAATTTTTAAGTTGGAGTTTGAGGGGTAATTTCATTCTGCATGATCTGAAGGGCCTTATATATTATGGCTGCTCAAATATTTGGTAAAAATGCTGTACAAGTTTAGAACTTTATTAAAATGGTGTTGAATTTAACATTTTTATTTTGCAGCCATAAAACTGATCTACTTGGTAGAGGTATTATGCACTGTAATACTGAACCTAGTAACATGCTATATATTTTTATCTGGATAATTTCTCAAGGTTTCTGTCAAATATCACATGAAAGTTATATTTTTCTTACAAGATTGGTCCCAGTGTCAAATTTCTTGAGACATAACCAAATGATAGATTTTCAAAAAATAAAACTTTACAACCTGCACATTTGTTATGCATACTAAATGGTGTGTTAAAATTAGGGTTTCCTTGCCTCTCTACAAAACACTAATCTGCCTAAAGGTGGTTTTTCATATTCATAGTGCTAATTATCATTCCACCCTACTTTAAATTTTAGGTAGAAAATTATCTGATTTAAATACAGGCATATTTTTCTCACATTGAGTCATATGCAGAATGTAGTTCCAAATGTATTTCATTACTATAGTCACAATATCCAACTAAAAATTATGCTATCTAGAATTGTACCGACCAAAATCTAGTATTGGCATGATCTTGACAGGCTGGACCTGCAAGATGTGGCTTGAATTTTAACCAGTTATTACATAATCTCTAGTGATCATACATCTAGTTATCATAAGAAATAATTTAAAGGGTTTTGTTGCTGAAAGCAGTAAGTGGTGCAGTAAAATAGTTAAGTTATTCAAAGATTGTTACCTTCCTTGCAAGAATAATTTAAGCACATGGGAAAGATTCTAGACTTTTTGTTTCTTGCAAAAACAGTGCCCTCTGCTGCTAGACATCATTTTCTGCTTACTGTCGTTTTTATTGTGGCTTGAGCTCAGTGAGTGGTGTGGATGAGGCTGGACAACTACTAACCAATAAAATTAGGAATTTGTGCAAACGGTAAATAGAACATTACAAGTATTCGGAATAACGTTAAACATTTTCCTTTTGACTTTATTAAAAAAAAATTTTTTAATTTCCCAGAAATGTCTTCAGGTTAATGACAGCTTAAGATCTCAACTTTTGGCTAAGAAATTGAAGATTTTTGAGCAAACTTTGTCATGGTAAATATTCAGGAGCCGCTCTGAACTGAGCATATCAATTCTTTAAGTTGAAAACACAATTTTAAACATGTAAGATTAGTACATAACTTGCCAAAGGTACTTGAGTTTGCTCTTTTTAAAGAAAAAAGAATTTTTCTTGTTGCACAAAGTCTAAATTCCTATTGGTTGAAGCACAGCAGCTGTGGAGTTCAGGCCAGTCATAAAGACTGAATCTGCTTTCTGAAGTAAGATGTGAGGTTGCATGTTTCAGTCCTCCACTGTCTTGCACTGTGGTCAGCACTGTACCTGTGCATTGTCTGAAAGCCTCCCACATATACTCCAGCTAAATGATTGTCTGGTAGCCTTCGCAATTTACAAACTAGCATGAGGCTTTTTATATCTAAATGCTACGTGATAGGCAATTGCAGCTAGCCACATATTCTGTGTATGAGATTCATAAAGACTTTCAATCATTCATTTCCATTTATCAACTGAAATTTGTTTAGTATGTGAATTTTTTTGGAAATGTATAGTGAATAGGATGTTGCACTGGTGGCAATTCATCATGGAGCATAATAAAATTAATTTGGCCCAAATAGTATAAACACTGTGTTTTTATTTCTTTGCTATTAAGAGGTTAAGTTCAAACATTCAGACTGTAGCATATGGCAAAGGGTATGCAGCAATGAATGGTAGCAGTTGAAGTTTCAAGCAGACTGCGTGCCCTGAGGGTTAGCATGTGCCATTAAATAAACATGGTGAGCAAGAAGAATGTTACACCCTGTTCTGTTGGGAAACATGGCAGCCGCTCAGCAGCTCCCTTGGAAGCTACTTCTGTGGCATACAGAGCATTCTCACTGCAAGGTCAGACAGTTTGGAGCTCTGTCACTTACCAAAAATGTGGAAGTTTTCTAAATTAAAACGGTACTGGAGTTTACTGGTAGTTTCAGTAAATGCTGAATATAGGAGTTTGCATGGGACAGAAATAAACGATATCAAAGATGGTGCTCATTTTACACAGGAAGCTCAGTTTTTGATAAATAGAATTTTCTGTTTCAATGACCCTGGCACAAGTGGGTGTCTGAAGGTTAAACTGAATTACGGAATCCAGAGCGTAGGATGCTACAGAATGCCTTTTAAGAGTGTTAGCCAAATTTAACAAACATTTAACATTTCAAGAATAGTATGTTCTATTAAAAAGTTGTTTCTGTTGTACAAACTTGAACACTGAAAGATTCATTAAATAAACTTTTAAAAGGACTTTTTCAAGAGAAATGTGCCTCAGAATTGTTCCTGTCACATCATATTTATCTAATCAATGCAGAGATTCCTGAAATGACTTTGCTTTAGGAATGGAGGTTTTAAAGGACAAGCGTAGAGATAAGACCTATTTATAGTACAGTAGAACATCCCGTCTGGAAAAGTCAGGAGCTTTTACCTTGTACATTTATTGACACCGTCACCTCTCACCCCCAGAACAGAACTCTCTCATAATTTTGCCGTCATTTACTCATGGGTTTCTTTTAAAAATACTTTGTTTTTCAGGGAAGCCACTGGGAACAGGTATAGGAAAGTATCTGTTAGGAATAGGATGGGGATATACTTTACAGCTCTGCTATGACCACCTTTTCTTTTCTATGTTATTCTGGAATCCTCCATTACCATGAAGAATTCTACTGAAAAATTTGTCTTTGTAATAAAACATGTTTGGATGTACCTGCCATAGTTTTTTGTTTTGTTTTGTTTTGTTTTAAATACATACATTGTGCCAACCAGTGGCGTGGCAGTTGAGCTGGTTGCCAACTGCATGGTTTGAGTCCCAGACCCAGTGCCTTAAAAAATACCCCAGGTGCATGTGTGAGTGTGTCCAAAATTCCCAGAGGTGGGTGAAATGGAGGAGGATTGTGGCATCATCATTCCCCATAGAGAGGGCGCTTTCTCACTATCTCGTCCTCTCTCGGCCAGCAAATTAAATAAAATGAATGCATCATGACTGTATTAACTGTTGATACAGTGTTAATTTCACACAAGTCTAGAGTAAATCTAAACTGGTCTTATACCACTCTTAAGACTGACAAGTTAGAATATGAATAGCACACAGATAATTATTTCGAGTCAAGTATAACACCACTATATTTAAGCAGCTATTAATAACTAAAGTAGTAGACATTAAGACACTGCAATGGAGTAAGGTGGATATACACTTACATCTGGAGATCACTGAGTTATATCAGGACAGTCATGTGGACACCATTTCACAGGTGAGGGTGCTCATATTCAGAATGGTTTGGGACTTGCCTGAGGTCAGAAGGATAATATTTGAAGCCAGATCCTACTACTACTTGCTCTTTCCATTCCAGGTACTCTTTTACATGTACAGAGTGTTGTGTCCTTTTTTTCTTTTTCTATTTTATCTTAAAAATAAACTGCAGGTTTAGTTCATTTGGGGAAGAAGATGACCACAAATTTCATGCTTGCTTTCTCACAAATCTGAGTGTTGATAGAAGCCTCTACCATCCTGTGCCCATTTCTGCCTAGTCAAGCTGTTTTGCTTTGAGGAGCCAGCCTCTGACTCTGAAGCATGTGATTATATTTTGACACAGTGATGGTGGTCACCCTACATTGCCCAAGCATTTGGTCATCACAGGGTACTTCTGTCATTTTGTCCTGAGTTGAAATGAGGTTGAGTTTCAAATCAAAATCCAAATTACCTTAGATTCTTAGGGTTATAAGTATTGTTTTTACTTAGATGTGAGTATTTGGTGTATATACTCTTACAGTCAACCTGTCTTATAGAAAATTAGTTTAAGAATATATTAATTTTTCCAAATAATTTTCAGTCAACAACTGAACTGTCACTTAAAGACCTGGAGTTCTTCCAAGGAGTACAAGGACAGACAACACTTTAAATCCAATTTCCTGGTTTTATTATTGGTAAGAGAGGAGATTCTAATTTAATGGAATACTCTTCATCCTCATTGGAAAAGACGCAGGAAAGTAAATTATCTAGTGTCTGTGGTGTTGAAAGAAACAAGTAAAAGGGAAAGACATTAACATGTCCAGTTAACTATAGGGAAACAAAGCCATTCATTCTCAATTCTGTAATTATCTATAGGTAGGCAAGTATAATTTAGCCCCTTAAATCAGTTTTTAGACTGAAAAACAAATAACTTCTATTTGTTGTTGTTTTGGTTTTTATTTGTTTTTATACTAGAATGGGAATCTAAGAACAGAAAGGAGAATTTGTGCTTGTAAGCATAATTTTTTAAAGACTAGAAGTTGGGAGACTGCCCAGTGAGTAAAATTTTAAAAATGTATCTGGACTTTGAAGGATGAAAAACAAATAGGAACTAATAAAACAGTGTATTTGGTTTTGTTTATTGAACAAAGATGTAAATGTAAAAATTCCACTTATATTACAAGCAAAGGCTTAATCTATACTAGACTATTCATATGTAAGTTTTCCCTTTTTTTTTTTTTTTTTTTTTTTAATTTTGACCAAAGTGAGAGACACACACACGGAGGGAGACGGAAAGTGAGAAAGCCAGCCACCAGGTCCAGGACTCGAACCGTAGTCAGCCATGTAGGAGTATCCAGCACCCTAACCACCACGCCACCTGCTGGCCCAAGTTAATAGACTTCTGATCATCTTATCTGTGGGTATTTGCCAGAGATTATGATGTTTTGTTTTGTTTTATTTTGTTTTGTTTTGAGAGATTTTCGATATAGGGCACGTGCGCTCACCAGACAGACAGAGACATTAGAGACAGAAAGCAAGAAATTACCCCTCAGGGGGGATGGTCACGCTGGAATCCCTTCTCCTCCATTCTCCTTTCGGGATCTTGGGCACGCACGCACATGCACCCGGCGTGAGTTTTAAGCCACCGGGTCCGGGACGCGAACCGCGGTTGACTACGTGGTAGTCCAGCGACATAGCCATTACGCTAACTGCTGGTTCCCATGATGTGGTTTTTGTTAACAGTTCACTAATTATGTGAATCTATTTCTATAAGCATAGTTCTAGAATTTCAGCCATTTTCTTTCCAAACCACCTGTAAATGGAGCACCTTATAATTCTGTTTTGGTGGCTTTGCTTTGTTCATGGTTGCTGTCTAGAGATGTCTAGGACGACAGGCAGATTCTATGCCAAGTGGTCACTTTAGATCTGCTCCCATGCCCAGAAGTTTTCCAGCCAGTGTGCCTGGGTCAGCCTGACATTGTTGGCCGGTTAATCTGTATTCAGAGAGAGAAAAGTCTGTAGCACCTGAGCCTCTGTAGCATCCTTCTTTTCACTTTAGCACTTCCATCATTGTTTTCCCAGGACTATATATGTGTATATATAGTTTAATTGGAATCACTGGCTTTTTCATAACTGTTTTCTGACTAAACTTCATTAAGCCTGTTATCATTCCAACAATTTAGGAAAAACAAATTGTGCACTTGTACAGGAAAAAAAAAATGTTTCTCTTCCCACTGCATACTTAACTGTAGTGTTATCTTTGTATCATGTTCTTGGTTTGTGATGTATGATAAGTTAGGATTGTAGTGATGACCCCGCATGTGAACCACTTGACATTAAATAATCCTTGGGTTATCTTTTAACTTGTGAAAAATGATGCTACATTTTCCCGTTGATTAGATTTACAAAATTGAAGACAGGCATGGGTGTTGTAAAAATAGAAGGAAAAATTTTTGGAGAGTTTTGCTCAGAAAACTTTTGGTATACAAGTTTCTTAAATATTAGTGGGAACTGGTGGATGTCCCCAAGAAGGAACAGGGACATAAGAAAGTGTTTTACCATATTCCTGAGTCTTCGAATATTCCCGAACATCT